TGATCCTTCTTACAAGTCCCTTCTCACTACAGCTTACATTCTGAAGTATATTTTCTTCGCACATACACGTCAATATTGATGTAATTTGTTCTTGAACTTGTACTAAAATAGCTCACACATGGCCTGTGCTGATATTCTCTGAATCACGCTGTATTGTTTACAAAGATGCGGCAGGCTCACAAGCTGATCCTCACAGCTGCAGGGGAAAGCAGTCAGTGCAGGATGGTTACATCCACCTCACAGCAGGAAAATCAGGCCTCAGAGTTTATGCGCCTTGTCTAGAGCCACCGTGCCTACTATTCAGAGACCAGGCCACGCAGTGGCACTCTATGTACAAGTAAACCAAACTTTTCATTCCAGTGTGTTTCTTTCTGAGCAGAATCTGTATGTATCACCATATAAGCAATATTGGGGGGCGGGGGGAAATCATGCCTACAAGGTATGAGAACTCTCTTTCCTTCACTTCTGTTAGCAATAGAAACGTTTTTCTTTTAACCTTTTTTTTTCTGCCAAAGATCAATATTCATTGATTTATTTCCCTGACTACTAATAAACTTAAGTATTTTTCTTAAGTCTGTCAGCCAATTAATTTGCTCTTTTGCAAACTGCTTCTTCACATTTCTTACCCATTTTTCTATGAACATGTTTGATGTTTTCTTGTCAATTTCCTTGTTTATTTTTAGGGTATGAGGTCTCGGTACAATTCCTTACCCGGACATTGTATATGTGGTCTCCTATATTGCTTTGCAAGATGGCTATTGCTTTATTCTAACATTAAAGTCTTTTATACTTTCAGTGTTCATTTTATTTTCTTCCAAATGGATATCCAGTTGGGCTAGCCCCATTTATTAAATAATCCATCATTCTCATTCTAAAGAGAATTATGTTTCTCATATAATGTTTATATATGACTACACTGATATAACCTTCTGAGTTTTTAATTGTGGTCTCTTTGTTCATTGATAGATCAACTCAACATTGATCTAATTATATAGGATGTATAAAGCATGTTCTGATATTTGGTAAGGCAAGACCCAGTCACAATTCTTCACACTTTTCATGCCTTTTCTCAAGGATTTTTATCCTTCCGTGTAAAACCTAAGTTGAAATGACACCCATGTTACTAAACATAATGGTCATTATTGAATCCTAACTTACTCTTCCTAACAGGAGCATGTAGCACTGCTGACAGCTCTCTCCTTGTTGCTTCCAGGAAACCTTATTTGTTTTTCCTTTAAATTTCTAGTTGCCACCTCTCAGGCTCTTCGGGTGGGTACTCCCAACCCCGTGATCTCTAGTTCATGGTTCGGTCCTTGCACATCTTCCCTTTCACATCTACACTCGCTCCCTCGGTATTCTCTTCCAGGTCATGGAATGACTCCTCAATTTCCATCTCCAGACGGGATTCTTCCCTATTATAGACCAATATACAGAACTGCTCATTTGATATATGGACTTGGATGCCTAATAGGCATCTTAACTAAAACATATCCAAAACCGAGATCCTGCTATTCCGTCATAAAAGGGCCCTTCTTGGTATCTTCCCCATCCCAGTTAAGGACTAGTACGTTATTCTAGTTGCTCAGGGCAAAAACCCTTGAAGCCATTCCATCATGCTTTTACACTCTATATATATCGGTCAGCAATTACTATCATCTTTCAAACAAAATTTATCAAGACTTTTCCTCACCCCTACAGGTGCCATCCAGGTCCAAGCTACCATTCTTCTTCTCTGAATTATCATTTCCCACCTAACTAATAGATCTACTTCTGCCCCAACTCTCCCAGAAGTCTATTCTCAACAAACCAGCAGAATGATACTGTTACTAGGTTGATCAGATGATGTTACTCCTTTGCTTAAAACCCTCNAAAAAAAAAAAAAAAGATAGAAGTGAGCACCAGCTAAATAAACAGAGGAAACTTTAAACAACTGTTAAAATTATAATTTTCAAGCAATATAAATATCAAAGGTTATCCTTGAAATAGAACATAAATAATTATCTAGGAGTCCTAGTACACTGAAGAAAGAGAAATCACAACAACCATTTGAAGATGCATTTGAACTATATATCTGGAGCTTATCTTTATAATAATCATTATTTTTAACATCACTAACCACTTTACCAGATCACTCTACACTAGCTACTTAACTTTCACACTTCTAACTGACAGTAAGGGCTAGCTTACATAAAAATGTGCACTGAAACACTTATTTTCAATTCTATCATTGCTAATAAAATATATGAGAAAGGCACTTTTTAAAATGTATCATGGTTCCACACCCAAACACAGCAGTTATAAATGTGACTAAAATAGGAAAACAGAGGTGTCTGCCAAGAAGTGTACCAGCAGATATCTGAGGGTCTTCTCATTATCCACCAGATACAGTAGTTAAAATGCCCCACTCTGCCACATCAAATAATAATTCTCCAACATTTAAAGCTCTGAAAATTCCTAGATAAAACGCATCTTAGGAAAAATTCTTTTCCAATTCAAAAAACAAGTATGCTCTTTCAACAAATTAGTTCAATTAAATTGGTATCAGCCTAGAAGGAATTCCTTATCATTAAGAAAACAAAATGAAGATGATCTTTCTTACAAATAAACAAATACAAAAATTGTTCCGATAGTTTGGATAATTTTTCTCAATTTCTACACATACCAACTCTTCCCTCAATCTTTCTTTGACAGTCTGGTTCATCTCGGAATTTCAGAAGGTACTGTAAAATCTGATAGTGCTTTCTGAAAAGCACAAGTGTTCCAATTACTGATTCAAAAGATTCTTTAAGAAACATTAGGCTGAGATACATAAAATGCATTCTTGTACGTCAAGACGACTTCATTTTTCTTTTGTGAGCAGATTAAATGGGTATAAATCTTTTATACTGAGTATACTGTTTTTAATTTACTCATCCTAATGGCCATTGAATTTTGATCACATAAGAAATACAAAATTAGATTAGGAAATCTGTTCAGTCAGGAATAGGTGAGGTTCTATAATGATTCTTAATGCACTCTCTTCTTAAACTGTTATTTTAGAAAACTAGCTTAAATACACTGTGCATTAGAATTTTATCATTGCAAAGCAGCATCAAAAAGGACTTCCATCGACTTAAAAACAAAAAAGACATTCTGATAAGTGGAAAATCAATCACCACAACCACTAAATGTCACAGCTCAACATCAGCAAGAAGAACTGATAATTGTTAGTTATACACTGCACAAATGATGTATGTCCTCGGTCGAGGAAGTGGGTGCCGGGTTTTAGAAAACTGTACATATATTGATTTTACATTTATTTAATGTGGCCATTGTAAGACACTTTATTCTTCTGATAAACTATGATTGCTTATCAAAAGATTCTATAATTCAAGAGAAACATTCATAACTTGTGTGAAAATGAAAACCACCAGCCCACAGAAATCATGCCCACAAAATCCAATTTTGTGGATTTATGGCAGAAAGGCATAACTGTCTTGCAGAAACTGCAGACTAGTCACTGAAGTGTAAGTGGCATAGCAGTAATGATTAAGGTGACACATCCCCCTGCCACAGCTGTTAATCAGCTTAATACTAGTTACATTATTGACATTCTTGTAATTACTTTTCCTCAGGCACATTTGTGCAAAATGTATTTTACTTTAATTATGAGCCATCGGAAGCAAGCCCAATACCCAAAAAGAATAAGCAAGGTTCTCCTGTGCGGGTATACAGTGAGCAGAGAGAGGGCTTCCGAGCACTTGGAGTTGGTGACACCCCAGAGCAGTGCTTTCCATGTGACCATACCTTGCCGTCCTCCGAACACACACCCATGTGCTCTCCACTTTCATCCAGGCTAACCTGATTTATCTTCACAGGACTCTATGAAAAAAACAAACAAACATGTCAAACTTTAAGAAAATCTCTCTCAATAATCAAATGGCTTGGCTCTCTGCAAATTTAAGTGATACAACTTGTCTACTAGTTTAAATGCATGAATCCAAGACGTATTTTTTTTGTTAATGAAAATGGTAAAATACAGCTTTGTTCCCAGACATGTAATATGCCTAGAAAGCTAAGACTTCCCCAAATTTTCACACACTTGAATTCCCTAAAATGTTATTTTTCTTACATGTTATATGACTTTTTACTTGTTTTGTTCTATTTATTCCACACTTCTAAAGTTCTTACCCAACCAAATCCATTAAAAGAACAAAACAAAAGCCAAAATAGAAATCATGATGTAAAGAAAAATTTTAATTGTTTTAGTTTGGTTCACCAGCTAATCTATTTGTTCTTCTCTTATAAATTAGTAAACCAACTTTTATGTATACTTTACGCTTAGTACTTTCTGGGGGAAACCCACAGATCTAGTAGATATTAATTAACTTTATCATCCCCCATTCTTTTGAGTAATCTCAAATTTAAAAATCTGTGAAGATACAAATCAGGCTTTCTACTTTGGATGTATTTTCCCAAGTGTAAATACACGACAGTGCTTTTAATATTTTTCACAGCTTTCCCGTTCTCTATGTAGCCAACTGTTTACTTATTAAATGGTGGATATTCTAATAGAAGTAAAAATTGGTGAATGTTGACATTAAAAAAATGACAAGCTCTTCATTTTTTTCTTCTTACATAATGGTAGTTTCTAACTGTCTTACACAAAGCATGGTGGAACAAACTAACCATGAAAAGTAAGCCTTCCTCAATTACAACATGAGCTTACAACTTATTTTTAATATCTAACAATAAAATAGTTTGGCTTATTAAGAATGAATGAAGGGCCAGCCGAGTGGCTCAGTTGGTTAAGAGCTTGCTCAAGAGTGCGAGCTCTGAGCAACAGCGGTTTGATTCCCAGCCTGAGCTGAGCTGCCACTGAGCTGCCAACAGGTGGCAGGATGGCTTAGCTAAAAAAAAAAAAAAAAANGTAAAGGAGAGGTACCCTCGTGAAACAATAAGTAAGGTGTGGATTCCTCGCCACTTCAGCGTGGATTTCTACGGATCTGCCACCCAGAAAACTGGGTGACACACCATGTGATGTAGAGGGACTGTGTATGAGGTGGCCAGAGGGTCAGACAACTCTCCCAGTTGGTACTTCTCTTGTAATAGCCTCTCTCAAACCCCAACTTCCAAATAACAACAGGTGAAGAACTAGAACAGGATGAAGAGTCAGCTATCATTACATCGAGGAAAGGAGATGAAGGCACCCTCACAGGGGAGACTGGTTTCCATACTTTCTCCCATGTCGAGAGTCAGAGAGCAGAGAGAGGTGGTGGGAGAGGCCCCCACTCCGTCCTCGGACAGCTGTTTTAGCGGGCTCCCTCTGGTCAGAGGAAATTAACAGCGGCCTGTGTGAAGCTAAGAAGTGATCCTACAACAGCCAAAGGGTGACGTGCAGGGCCAAGGACAGCCAGATACAGTCTCTGTGCTAACCCAGGTTCAGAAAGAGTTCTCACTCCGGAATGGATAAACAAGCAAGCAACAAAAACACACACGAGGGCCGTAGAAAGAACACTGCAGGACACAATTCCAACAACTCAGAGGGAGAAAAACCAGGCTTTACAATGTTTTCATAGTAAGCAGAAAAGAAAGGAAAATGAGAAAACTCTTTGGTGACTTCAGTAAGAAAAGACCTCCATGAACCTGGAGCAGAAGGACAAGACGACGACGGTGATGGTGACGGGGAAGAAGGGAAGAGCTAACCAAGTCCTACGTGCTTCTCCTGCTCCAGGTGCTTTTCCACACAATTTTCATACATTAACTCATTTATTCCTCCTAATAATCAAGGAGGTAGGTACTGTTATTATCTCCATTTTACAGAGAAGGAAATAGATTGAGGCACAGAGAGCTATGAATGACTTAGCTCACATCACACAGCGAAAACGTGGCAAGTAATTCCACTCCTAACCACCTGACCATGCTGCCTGACACTCTAAGACATACAAGCAGCTGTAATTTAAAAAAATTAAATATATATCAGGCTGATATGAAAATGGAGCTGGAAGACATATTAGGAAAATTAAAAACACAAAATGGAATAAAACTCCACTCCACAAAGCAAAACTGACACTGGAACAAAAGCAAATCAGCACAGGGAACAAACAAGAGACACGTGTTCTCCTGACCACAAAGAAATGACAGGAGAATAGGGGCACAGCACACATGTGGTAGGGGGGCGTGTGCCACACACCATGACCAGCTTTTCTTACAACTTACGTAGTTTAGAAAGGAGAGGAAGGGTGAGTAGTGCTCATCCACTCACCTTCTTAACCTCGAAAAGCTTAGGTACAGTGATTTGGGAGGGGAAAAGGCCAGGCTGCAGTGGGTTAAGGAACGAATGGTTAGCAATCAAGACGGTTCATATAGACTGAGAGCCCCCGTACACCTGGCACTTGGGACATTCCCTGGCAGGATCCCCACTGTGCCCACTGCGGCTGAGGAAGTGGAGGCACTGGGAGGGCAAACGAAGTGCCCAACCTGACACAGGAGAGAGGGCCTGCTGCCCGGGCACGCGGAACACTGTGCTCTCTCTTAGCCTCTGCACGATACTGCCTCCAGCCTAAGGATTATTGAGTTTCTTTGAAGAAATGAAAACAAATGGAACTGAAGCA